GGGGTCGGCGGCTCCTCGCAGCCGGGGCGGCGGGAAGCGGGTCGCTTTGGTCCCCAGAAAAAGGAGGAGGGAGGAGGGTGGGCTTGACCCTGGAGGCCGGAGGAGAGCGACCTCGGCAGGGCCCTGTAGCATCCCTTAGGAAGCAACTGGCATGGAATTTGCAAAACGAGCTCCTTGAGGGCAGGTCGGAGCGAATTCTAGTTCCGTCTACAACCTCAGCTCCTGGGTGCACAGTAGCGGTTTAATAACCCACCAGCTGAAGGCGGGACTGTAGTTCGGTGGTTAAGAGACCTGGACACGGGGACTGGCAGGTGGCGGAGTGGATACCTCGCTGGACTCCCACGTAGTCACCGTGGTTCCATTCCTGGACTCGGGCCTAAAACGCGGGCGTGCGGGCCCGAAATCCTGAGAGGAGAACGGAGAGGGAGGAGAGGGATTGCGGAGTGGCCATCCACCCTGGGCGGTGATTTCTCACTTTCTGTCTCTCTGTGTCTCTCCAGGGAGCGCACGCTCCCTCTAGCAAAAATCTCTTTTTTTTTTTTTTTTTGAGAGGTTTTTGCTATAGGGCGCCTGCGCTCGCCAGACAGACAGAGAGACAGAAAGCGAGAAATCACCCCCCCCCGGGGGGGGTGGGATGGCCATGCCGCAATCCCTTCTCCTCCATTCTTCTCTTGGGATTCTGGGCACGCAAGCACACGCGCCCGGCGTGAGTTTTAAGCCACCTGGTCCAGGACGCGAACCGCGATCGACTACATGGGAGTCCAGCGACATAGCCATTACGCTACCTGCTGGTCCCTTTTTTATTTATTTATTTATTTTTTTGAGAGGTTTTCGCTATAGGGCGAGCCAGACAGAAAGAGAGAGACAGAAAGCGAGAAATCACCTCCCAGGGGGGATGGTCACGTCGCAATCCCTCTCCTCCATTCTCCTCTTGGGATCTTGGGCCCAGCGTGAGTTTTAAGCCACCGGGTCCGGGACGTGAACCGCGGTCGACTACGTGGGAGTCCAGCGACATAGTCATTACGCTAACTGCTGGTTCCCGCAAAAATCTCTCAAGAAGGAAGGGAGGGAGGACGGTCGGACTAGATATGGCTCACTGTGGTGGGTGGGAATCCCAGCCCCAGGTAGGAATGAAGAATGCACGAACACAGCAAGAAGTAAGTCTCGAGCCAGGCTAGGTGTGACTGTTCCTAAGAGATCTCCTTGGCTCTCACTTTAATCGCCATTGAAGAATGAGAGTGCCTACTGTTATTCATACCATGGGAGAGACAACGGAGAAAAAGGGACCAGCAGGTGGTGTGGACCTTAAGATGCTTCACAAGGTCAGCTCCAAGGTCCGAGGCCTGGTAGCTTGAAAAATCGGGCAGAGTGCATGCTTTCTCACTCCCCCACCCTGTCTCTCTGTTTCTCCTGCCAGCGCATGTACCCTGTAGTTGGGGGTGGGGCGGGTGGAGAGAGACAGACAAGACAGCCAGTTGGTGGCCTGGCGGTTAAGGTGGCTGGATCCCACATAGCTAGCCCGGGTCAGAGTTTGGGACCTACAGTTGCTTTTTCTTTTTTCTATAGAGCATGTGCCATTGCTGGAGAGAGACAAAGGGGGTTGAAAGAGAGAGAGAGACAAAGTGAGAAATCACCCCTTCGGGGATGGGCCATGCTGCAATCCCTTTTCCTCGCTGGATTTGGACACGTGCAGACATGCTTGGTGTGATTCTTAAGCCCCTGGGTCCAGGACTCCCAACTGTGCAGTCTGCCATGGAGGCTCCTGCCCTTAACCCTAACCTCCATGCCACCTGCTGGCCCTTTGGGCTGGCTGCTTATGCAATCCCTTCTCCTCCATGCTCCTTCTGGGATTTTCACACACATGCTCGGGCTGATAACTTTAAAAATGCCCAAGTACATATGCCTTTGTCCCCCCCAAAAAAAATCACAGGAAGAGAATGGAGAAGGGACTGCAGTGTGGCCATGAGGGTAGGGGTGTGCTTTCTCACTTTTCCATTCTCTGTCTCTCTCCTGCTGCAGGAAAAAACAAAAAAATTCTACCCTCGTCCAGGACCTTCACTTAACTGGAGGGAGCACACATACAAGCTTGTATTTAACGTAAGAGTGAGAAGTGCCATGAAGAGCATAAAGCAAAATGATGGTGGAACAACAGCGACAGGGGAGCGTGGACTCCAGGTGGTCAGAGGTTTCTATTGGAGCCGAGACCTGGAATAATGAGGAGGAAGCAGCATTGGGACCCAGGCAGAGAGTACAGCCATGTGTCTAGCTCAAGGTGGAAGTAAGCCTGCCACTGGGACCAGCAGGTGGCGTGGTGGTTAAGGCGCTGGACACTCCCACATGGCTGACTGCGGTTTGAGTACCAGACCTGGTGGCTTGCTTTCTCTTTCTCTCTCTGTCTTTCTCTGGCCAAATTTTTTAAAAATGGTGATGGGTAAAAGTAAATAAATAATTCTTTTTAAAAATTTTTATTTTGGGGCCGGCAGGTGGCGTGGTGGATAGGGGCGCTGGACTCCCACATGGCCGACCACGGTTCAAGTCTTGGACCTGGTGGCTTGCTTTCTCACTTCCTCTCTCTCTCTCTGATCAAACTGGAAAATAATAATGATAATAATAATAAATTTTTAAAAATTATTTTATTTATTATTATTTTAAAATTTCCTATAGGGCATGTGTGCTCACCAGAGAGAGAGAAAGTGGGAAAGCAAGCCACTAGGTCAGGGACTTGAACTGACTGGTCATGTGAGAGTCCTTAACCACCATGCTGCCTGCTGGCCCTTCCTGGTCAAGTTTCTTTCTTTTTTTTTTTTTTAAATAATTATTTAGTTAGTTAGTTCCATTTGTTATTATTATCACTTTCCAATTTGACCAGACAGAGAGAGAGAAAGGGAAAGCAAGCTGCCAGGTCTGGGATTTGAACTACAGATGGCCATGTGGGAATCCAGCACCTTTAACCACCATGCCACTTGCCAGCCCCCGGTGTTTTTGTTTTTGTTTTGTTTTGTTTTGTTTTTGGCAAGGAGAAATTTTTGCTATAATAGGGCACGTGCACTTGACAAAGAGATAGACAGGAAACAATAAAATCACTCCCCAGGGGGGATGGCCATGCTGCAATCTCTTCTCCTCCATTCTCCTCTCAGGATTTTGGGCACGCACGCACATGTGCCCAATATGAGTTTTAAGGTACCAGGTGTGGGACTCTAACCGCGGTTGACTACATGGGAGTCCAGCAGCATAACCATTACACCATCTGCTGTTCCCCCTGGTCGAGTTTCTGACTTCAGGCAAATGAACTACTTGCTAGCTCTTATAAACAACTTACATATTTTCACTTCATAGTCTTCCCTTCACCTTCTTTAAATTGTAATCAAAGTAATATGCACATGCGTGCGTGCCCCAGATCCTGAGAGGAGAATGGAGGAGAAGGCATTGCTGAGTGGCCATCCCCCCTCGGGGGTGATTTCTCACTTTCTGTCTCTCTGTCTTTCTGGTGAGTGCATGTGCCCTATAGCAAAAACCTCTCCAAAAAAGTTATTTTATTTATCTTTATTTATTTAAATCTTACCAGAGAGTGACATAGTGAAAGTGAGAGAGAGAAAAACTGAGAAAGCAAGCAGCCAGGTCCAGGACTCGAACCATGGTCAGCCATGTGGGAGTCCAGTGCCCTTAACCACTACACCACCTGCTGCCCCTATCCATTTCATATTTTAATGGCTTCATCATTTTGCAAGATTTTAACATTATTTCCATCTCTACCAACCATTTATGTATCCAGTATATTGACTGGACTTTACCATGTGTGTTCATTTATTTATTGGATGGGTTAAATGTCCACAATTTGAAAGTAAGTATACGAGGTCGGAAATACAATACAGTGAAACTTCTCTGTCCTGTTCTGGGTTTTCTTGTCCTTCACTTCTCAACAGAAGGAAACAATTTACTTCTTTTTTTTTTTTTTTCTCTCTAAGAACTTGTCTTCCAATTCTTCCTTTTTATAGCACTTTCTTCACAGGTAAAGTATCTTTCCTCTTTCTGTTTTGAGAAAATTGTAGCCCCCCACCCCACCAAAGTTTTCAGAAAGCTCTCTACGTTGCCATTGTTTTCTTGGTTTCAATTTTCTTTTTCTTTTTGGAGAGGTTTTCGTTGTAGGGCGCATGCGCTCACCAGACAGACAGAGACATAGAGACAGAAAGCGAGAAATCACCCCCCAGGGGGGATGGTCACGCTGCAATCCCTTCTCCTCCATTCTCCTCTCGGGATCTTGGGCACGCACGCACAGGCGCCTGGCGTGAGTTTTAAGCCACCGGGTCCAGGACGCGAACTGCGGTCGACTACGTGGGAGTCCAGTGACATAGCCATTACGCTAACTGCTGGTTCCCTTGGTTTCAATTTTCCATCTGCTTTCTGCTGAAAGATCCCTCAACTGTTCCATGGTCCTTGGATGTTCACATTTAACGGTGAGGTACCCAGAAGCTGACTGGAAGCTCCGTGACGTACAGGTTTATTAACAGGTTTCACTGCAGAGTGAACCAGTGGGGCTTGTTTTCAGTGTTGAGGAAACCAGTAAGTAGTCAGTGCTTAGTCTTTTCTCTCCGCAGCTGTTTTCGAGGGCCGTACATCAGTAGATGCTGCTAGTCTTACCAGTCATACACCTCTTAATCCCTCACTTCAGTCTAACACCATCTGCATCCTCACCACGCCTGCACCCAGTCCAGAGGCTCTGGTAAATTTACAT